ATTCTGGAGCTCTTTATATATATATCTGGAGATTAATCTTTCCTCTATGAATAAATCCTTGAAGTCCTATCAATACCAGTTAGTCTGGAGAATTCACTTACAGCAGAATATTGAGCCCCAGTATCCAACAGGAAGTGTATTATTATACCTGTCACATAGAGAACAACCTGAGCATCATCATAAGATACTGAAAGTTGATAGGTCAGATTTGGCTTAGAGGCAGGCTTAGGATATCTTCAATTCTCAAGGGCTGCCATATTGGAGAGATGAATGCCTCCTTTCCTCTCTGAATAGAGGAACAACCCTTACTCCACTGTTTTCTCTAATGGCAAAGGCTATATACCTGATTTTATGGCCCCCCCTTTCCCCCCTTTATGGCAATTAGTTTTTCAGTGATAAAGCTCCCTGCATCTGTAACAGTTTCCTTTTGGGTTAACAGAGTCAACTTTTTCCTCTATAGTTTTTCCTCAGAGGTGCTTGTCTTTTTAAGGAAAAAAAAATTCCCTTCCATAATTATAGCCAACACTTGCTGTTGTTTTTCTACAAATAATTGGAGTTCCTTTTTTGGCCAATAACTGACTTTCTCTAACCATTTTAAATTTTTTAATTGTTATTATAAATGTGATGTACAGAGGGGTTGCTGTTACAAAAGTCAAGTAATGAGTACATTTCTTTTTGGACAATGTCACTCCTTCCCTCTCTCACAGTTTTTCCTTCTCATCCACACCCACAAGTTGTATACTTTATTTATTTAGTATCTGTTTATTTAGTATTTATTTATTTATTTATTGTCGGTTGTGAGACTTTAACTCTGGGCCTGAGTGCTGTCCCTCAGCTCAAGGCTAGTGCTCTACCACTTGAGTCACAGCACCACTTTCGGTTTTCTGGTGGTCTATTGGAGATAGGCGTCTCATGGACTTTCCTGCCAGGGCTAGCAGATCTCAGATCTTCAGATCTCAGCCTCCTGAGTAGCTAGGATTACAAGCGTGAGCCACCGGTCGGTACCCAGCATATACTTTATTTTTTTTAACATAGTGTCCAGTGAGTATCATTGCTGCATTTGTTCACCATTTGTGCCTCTATTTCTCTAACCATTTTTTTTCTTCTTATTATATCTTCTTGAAAATTCCAAAGACCAAAGTGGGTGAAGGGGGAGTGGGAAAAAGGTGAAATTGATCGGAATATATTATAAACATTTGTAGAAATGTAACAATGAAATCCTCTTCTACGTAAATAATGAGCTAATAAGATCCCAAACATTAAGTTTACTAGCTCTCAAAAGTGAGAATTGAGGACCCATCTCTTTTGGTGAAGAAGTTTTTATTTTTTTACTAGAATAAGTTAATTGTGCAAATGGTCTATATTGTACTATTTACAAGATATGCACAATGTACTTTGATCAAATTTATCCCACTTATTTCACTCATACTTAAGTCCCCTTTCTTTTCCTTCTTTCTTTTTAGTTTTTGGAAGAGTTGATTATGTTGTTTTCATATATACATATATGTGTACATCCAATGCACTTCTATACATTTCCCCCAATCAGGGCCCTCAACTCAGTTCCTCTAGCCAGGCACTAATGACTCACACCTGTAATCACTGCTACTCAGGCAGCTGGAATCTGAGGGTTGTGATTTAGAGCCAACCTAGACAAAGAAGTCTATGAGACTCTTATTTATCCAGCAAAAATCTGGAAGTGGAAGTGTGGCTCAAGTGGTAGAGCAGCAGCCTTGAGTGAAAAAGCCAGGCAAGAGTGCAAGGCCCAGAGTTCTACACTGCAGTGCCAGCACAAAAAAAAAAAAAAAACCAAACAGTTCCTCTGAATAGTCATAACATATTGTGATTTTAAAGTCTTGATTATGAATGAGTGAAAACATGCTCTACTGGTCTTTCTGAACTTATCTTACCTCACTTAATATGAAAATCTCTCATTCAATCGACTTTTCTACACTCTTTTTTGTGGTTGAATTATATATATAACTATATAGTTTTATATATATATATATATATATATATATATATATATATATGTTTCACTTTTTCTTTACCCAATCACTGCCTGTTGGGCACCTAGAATGGTTCCATAGATTGACTAGTCTAAATAGTGATGTTATAAACATCTCTTTTGTATGTAAATCTGCATTCCTTGGGATATGTGCCCAAGAGTTGAATAGCAAGATATATAGTAGTTTTATTTTTATTTTTTTGAGAACACTCCATCCTCTTTTCTATAATGATTGGCCTAATTTACATTCTCAACAGTGTGTGAAGGCTCTATGGATGTCAGTATATAGCCATTTTCACAGTGTTAATTCTGTCAATCCATGAACACAAAACGTCTTTTGGTCTTCTGATGTCTTTCTGCTCCAATTTCCTTCTTTAGTGATTTTTTTGTTAGTTTTCATTATATAAGTCTCATTGATGAAAGTTTTTTAATGAACAAAGGTTCAAACTTTATAATAAAATACCTGTGAACTGAAATCAACACATTAAAAAGTTGAGAGGCCTTGATTGAATTGTTCTCATACTAAGTATATGATAAATTTAATGCATAACATAAACAGAATAAAGGACAAAATTTCATGAATATTTTCATGGTGCAAAGAAAACCTTTGACAGACTCCCCGAGTCACATTAGGGCTGCATCATTTTTCCAGGTTTCTCAGATGGAAACCTTTCCATTTATGGAGGCAATCTGATATAGTTTAGGGGAACAATCTTACATGTTTCCTCTGGCCATCTGCCTTTGGCCCATCTTACCTGGGAACTAGGTAGATTGTAAATGGGGTTTATTCTGCCTCTGTAGCTCTCATATGATGCTTTCACTTTCTAAGATGGAACTTTGAGGAGAAATGATGATTGAGGGAATCTAAAAATAAGTCCCGAGGCCATTATGAGACAGGGGAAGAGAGAGGAAGACTTAGAGAAACTAGAAGAAGAAAATCAAAGCCAGCCTTTAAGCAGTTTCCTACCTGGTGACCTTACTTTATGATGGAGGGCAACTACCATCTCTTGGCCTGCCCACCCAAAATTCTATTTCTGGAAGAGTTGAGGATGATTCTAATGGAAAATAAAGCCTTAGTTTATCATCTAGTCCTTACTTTCCGTCTCTTGAATTAATTGGTAAGAAAAATTTTGTGCAGATTCTCAAGGTGGATGGTGAGCAAAGGTTTTATTTATTTAAGTATGACAAAGCATTGAAAAGCAGAGAGAAGACTGAAATGCAGGTGAAGAGATAGAATTGTGGCTTTTTATTAACTAAAATAACCTTTAGATAAAGTGGTTTCTTTGTATTAGGCAAGTATGTGGAAATCATTGGGAACAACTTTACTAACGAGAATGAATGTGTCTGGAAAGAGATTTCCTCTGTGGACCCACTTGAGAAGAGTATGGGAAATACACCGAAAAGCATCAGGTTCAAATCACCCTGCAATGTCTATTTAACAAATACAATTCAATTTGCACAAGAATCACAGAAACAGCCATGTCTGGTGTCCCCAGAAGGGCTAAAGATGCTGTTGGTAAAAGAAGCTGTGCAGAATGCTACGGTAAGTGTCCCTAATGTTTTTTAAACACTACCAAAGTACTATGATGTTTCTTTGTCTGAGACTAAGGAAGTTTAGGGCCAAAGGAAAACAGGCATAAACAAAGAGCCAAAAAAGCACTCCTGCCTTGAAAGAGGTCCTTTTAGGTAATTGGGTTACTTGCCAACTCTAACTAATAGAGACTGAGCCATTATTTATGAGAATTGAAAGGGCATTGAGAACAGATCACTAAGTTCCAGTAAATGTAAAAATCCAATGTGATACTATGTTGCTTGTATAAATTTTGACTGCCTTTACACCTGGCATATTTTGACAGATTTATTTAGTGTTCAAATAGGGCCTTGTGTTTGCTGGGCAGGAGATCTACCTCTTGAGTCACACCTCTAATCCACTGTACTTTTTCATTTTCCAAATTAGGGTCTTCATGTATGTCCAGCCAGTTAGAACTGTGATCTTCCTCTTTATTATCCCCATATGGCAAGGATGACAGGCATATGCCTCTGCATCCAATTATTGATTGAGATGGGCACATGAATAAACTGAACTACGCTTAAATCCTGATCCTCCCAAGTAGCTAAGATTATATTTCTGATATACCACTCTGCAGCCAGGTTGTCTTTCTCTCTCTCTCACACACACACATACACATACACTAAATATAGTATATTATACATAAATTTAGTTTAAAATAATGAACGGGGGGCTGGGAAGATGGCTCAATGGCATGCCTTGCATGCATGAGGCCCTGGGTTCAATTTCTCAGCACTACATAAGCAGAAAAAGCCAGAAGTGGCTCTGTGGCTCAAGTGGTAGAGCGCTAGCCTTGAGCAGAAGAGCTGAGGGACAGTGCCCAGGCCCAGAGTTCAGGCCCCACAACTGGGAAAATAAAATAAAATGAAATAATGAGCAGGAAGATTTATATACTTTTTACTTACTGTAACTAGTAAATCACAGCTAACAATAAATGAACATTAAAGCACTGAGTTATAGGCTGGGAATGTGACTTAGTGGTAGAGTGCTTGCCCAGAATGCATGAAGCCCTGGGTTTAATTCCTCAGCACCACATAAACAGAAAAAGCAGGAAGTGGCACATAGCTCAAGTGGTATAGTGCTAGCCTTGAGCAAAAACTCAGGGACAATGCCTAGGCCCTGAGTTCAATTCCCAGGACTGGCAAAAATAAAGGAAGGAAGAAAGACAGACAGACAGACAGATAGACAGACAGACAAGAAAGAAAGAAAGAAAGAAAGAAAGAAAGAAAGAAAGAAAGAAAGAAAGAAAGAAAGAAAGAAAGAAAGAAAGAAAGAAAGAAAGGAAGAAGAAAGAAAGAAAGAAAGAAAGAAAGAAAGAAAGAAAGAAAGAAAGAAAGAAAGAAAGAAAGCAAGCAGGCAAGCAGGCAAGCAAACACGGATCTAAATGTTTAACATGCATTATTTTCATTCACTGAAAAATCTACCATGAGGAACATTCTAGGCTTTCTCACCTCACAAGTGAAGGAATGTGATTATGAAGCAAAAATTTACCGAAGTCCCACAGCTCGCAAGTGAGTAGAGTGAAGATTATAATTTATCCAGGTTCTTCACCATTGTACAGTGAAATGAAAAACCACCATGAAAAAGTTTCCATGACTTCCACTGTGTGTGGTCTGGGCTTCAAGCTGATTCTTCCACCATCTACCCTTGAGTACCATTCTATGCTGGCTTGCAAAAGTTCCCTGTTGTCCTCTGTCTCATGTGACCATTCCCATTTCTCAGGTCCCACATTGCCCATGGAGACTTCACCAGGCATCTTCACAGAACTGCCTCTTTCAGGGTAACCCAGCCAGCCATTCCATGTCATTTCCATGTTCTTTTGGATAGGTCTCTTTTCTTCAAGAGATTTATAAATACATATTTAATAACATTTTGTCTTCAATTTGTATTTAAGTCTCCAAAAACCATAATTGTCTTATTTGTCCCATGTGATTGATAAATGTCTTCTGTGAGGATTTGAAACAAATCTTTGGATTTGTCTTTAAGACTCAGGTCATTGTCAATTCAATTCCTTTGGACCTCACACTTGGTTTAGGACCCCTTTCTCAGGCCCTCTTGGAAAAGGCTGGGCCAAGGCTCCAGGAGAAGTTGAAGGCTGCTGGACAAAAGGGCATTCTTGTGGGCACTGTTGTCTCAACCAGTGGTTGTGATCTGCCTAGCCACAAGGTTTTTCACGTGGTGGCTCCAACATGGAAAAGTAACAATGCACAAAAGGTAGGGCCAGGTTTCAATTGTCCAGGAAATGGCCTAGCTCTCTCAATGTATTATAGATTAGATTCAGTCCACATTTCTTCTGTGATAATATCTCATTCGGGGCAGATTTCATCATTATGGTCACTTGTTACTCATATAACTCCACTGCAGTGTTTAGTAAGATTGTCCTGCTTTAGTGAGAAAAAGGAAGTGGGGCCTGAGGATGGAAGAGTGTAAAGGACCAAGTATAGTTGGTGCTTTTCTTCTTTCTTCCTGTGTTTTCCTTTTCTCTTCTGACTACCCTCAACCTTTGTGAATACTGACATGGAAGGAGTCAGAGATAACAGTCAATGTTGTTGAATTCTTGTTCCTTAGGTTCTAGGCAAGATGCATAAGGATGTGCCTTGTGCTTTTCAGATCATGGAAGACATAATTGGAAAATGTTTGAAGAAAACTGAGAAATTGTCCCTAACATCAATTGGATTTCCAGCAATTTGAAATGGAAATTTGGGATTTCCTAAAACTGTATTTGCTAAATTAATCGTTTCAGAAGTACTGAAATTTAGCAGCAGGTATCAGCCAAAATACTTACAAGAAGTTCAGTTTCTGTTGCATCCAACAGATCATAAAAATATTCAGGTACCATCTTGACTCATTTCGGATTACTTTGGCAATATTATTTTAATCTAATAGAATGTGTTTTTTCTTTTTTTCTATATAGGAAAATAAGAGAGTATTGATCAATTGTAGCATGACACGTTTAAAAAATAATTATGACTATTAAAAATATTAACGTCTTATGTAAGAAAATGTTAAACTCATACCAAAGTAGATTAAGTAGTCTAATTAACTCTCCTTTATCTTTTCCTCAGCTTCATCTCTTACTAGAAATCTATAGCTAGTATGCTTGATCATTGTCTTCACATATTTCTCTGTTTCTCTTATGATTTTGAAGCAAATCCCAATCTGATTTTATTCCATTTTAATCCATCATCTACTGATGGCCAATGTTGTTGATCTCAAACTTCACTTATTTCCCGTCCTTTCGTGATTTTGAAGGGAATCACAGACAATTTTATTCCTAAACAATTCAACAATTTATTTTAGGCAAGAATTCTTTGTTTTTAAGTAATATAAATATACAATAGTATCATATCTAAAATAAATTTGATAATAATTCCTTTTATTCATTCAGTGTCCAGATGTCTCATCAATGGTTGATTTTGTCGTAGGAGCTTCATGTTTGTATCTGAATAAAATGTCCCACATGTCATCATGGAGGTGACATAGTATCTTAAGACTCATCCATTAGGATTTCTTTCTACATGGATCTAAAAATGTTAATACACAATGCCAAAGCATGGCTTCTCAATAGAGAAATTTCAGGATAAGATACAAATGATCCCTGCTTCCCTTGTTGGAAATGCAACTAATTATGAGAAGGGTATGATTGAAAACACCAGCATATTTCCATGTAAATAGGAGAGTTAAAGTGAGAGCCATCTCCAGTCATAGTTTGTCAATCAGCTCATATTTACTCTCATCTCTGAGTGAGCCACTAGACATGGCATTATGAGAGATATTTAAATCCTTTCCCCTGCTTTCTATGCCTTATAATCAAATCCAAGAGAGTAGATGACATTCAATGTTTGAAAAGTCCCATGATATCACAAGAACTTAATAGATGATATAGCCAGCAACCCAAAAGATGTCTATGGATTATTGGAACATCTGAAATTTTAAGTCATACTTTTTTTTCTTTTGAGTCTAGTCATTACCCATAAATTCTTTTGGGAACAAGTACATGTAATCTACATGCCAATCAGACAGCCCAACAACCTGAGTAAAATATATGGTCTATTTACTTGGTCCATGATTACTTCTTTTTCGTAGAAGAGTTTTTCTTTTTCTTTTTGTTTAACTAATCAGTAATAGTTTAATTTCATGACATATTTATGAGTTATCTGAATCACTCTTATATTCCAAGAAGTAAATTTTTTTCTAATAACCTATGACTTGTATTGTGTGAGGACATGTAGAACACAGTACATAGCTGGTACTTTCCCTGTGATAATCATACTTTGGAAACTTAGATTTACACATGCAAAGCAAGCTAAATTGGGGAGCAGGGGTTGTTCTGTACATTGTAGAAATTGAATTACATGTAATGTTTGGTAACTTTAAAACTCTATAAGAAGGGCTGGGAAGGTGACTCAGTGGTAGAGTGCTTGCCTTGCATACATAAAGCGCTGGGTTCGATTCCTCAGCACCACACAAACAGAAAAGGCTGGAAGTGGCTTTGTGACTCAAGTGGTAGAGTGCTAGCCTTGAGCTGCAGAACTGACAGACAGTACCCAGGCCCAGAATTGAAGCCCTACGACCAGCAAAAAAAAATTTTTTTTTAAATATATACATATGGAAATTAATACTATTCAAGAATTATTATTTTTAAAGTGTGTGTGTGTGTGTGTGTGTGTGTGTGTGTGTGTGTATGTGTGTATGTGTGTGTACATGCAGGATCAGAAGACCTAATTAATTAAATTCCTTGATAAACTGAGGAATTTAATGGTGAAAACTGTGTTTGTGTTCCAGGTATTTTCTGACGAATTTTTCAGAAGGAATGATGGAATTCCTGGTGACAAAATTCCTAAAGCTAAAGATACATAAGGTTCAGAAAACTTTTAATTAGGATGAGTAGAGGGGGCAGCTGAAAGATGGTAATGATTTTTCTTCTAAGAAAAACAGAGTGATAAATAATGAAATTTATGTCCCATAAACCTGAGCATGCAAGATAAGGGCCGGAGCAAAAGACAAAGTGGGCCAAGTTATACAATCTATACAATAGACTTTAAAGAAACTATTGACCAAATCAGGAGCTAGTAGATCATGCCTGCTATCAAGAGACGGAGATCTGAGAACCATGGTTCAAAGCCAGCCTGGGCAGGAAAGTCCATGAGACTCTCATCTCTCATGAACCACCAAAAAAGCTAGAACTAGAGCTTTGACTCAGGTGGCAAGAGTACCAGCTTGAGCAAAAAGCTAAGGGACAACACCCAGGCCCTGAGTTCAAGCCCCAGAAGTTAGTGACTAGACTACTATTTTCAAAGGTTAGTATGGCATGTATTTTTCAAAAATAAACACATGGAAAGATACTACCAACCCAAAGATTTTCCTCTATCAAATTTTACTTGTTATTTTTGAGTTTAACTTGTTTGGGATTCACCAAGGCGTTTGAGGCTTCTATTTTCTTTGAACCAGGACTTCCCCATGATGCCCAAGTTTTTTCTGAACTTCTGGGTTCAAGTGATCCTCTTGCCTCAACCTCCCAAATTGCTGTAACTCTAGCTTGTGCAACTGTGCCTGGCTTCACTGTACCTACCTTCCTAAAGTAAAAAATGTTTACCAATTATGAAATTTGGGGATTTTTCAATTATTAATCTATAAAAAAATCTATCAAATCTATCAAAAAATACGAGGAGCTGTTCTCCATCTTTCCATTTCATTTTCTCTCTTTAATTTCAGATAATTTATATTAACTTATTTATATTAATCTACCTTCAAGTTTACTGAGTCTTTTCTTTGTTCACTATTCATGCGATTGAAGTCATCAGGGAATTTTTAAGTTTTAAACATTACCTTTTAACTTCTAGAGTGCTCACTATGTCTGTTTTATATATTTATTCATTTCAAATCATTTCATTCCTTCAAATATTTATTCACCCATCTACTCAAGAAATAAAGATCAAGGAGACTGACTTTTGAAGCAAACCCAGACAACAGTTCACCAGGCTATATAACAGCAGAAAAATCTAAGTGTGGTGGTGTGCACCCATCATTCCAGTTTTAAGGAAAGCATAAATAGGAGGATCGGGAGTTCCGGGAAGATGGCGGGGGAGTTCCGGGAAGATGGCGGAGGAGAAGCTGGAATCTGAACAAGCTCTCGCATAGAAAGCAGGTTTAGAGTTCCAGTGAACAGTCCTAAGCCAGAGAATCACACCAAGTGTGCCATCACAGGACAGAGAGTTAGACAAGAGAGGGGAAGCCAAGACAAGGAGACACATCTGAGCGCCTGCCAGCAGCCGCGGCGGCAGCGGCGGCAGGGTCGCGGCGTGACCGCAGCCGCGGCCATACCTGAGCGCTCACACAGAGAGTCCGGGACGAAGGAGCCAGACGCAGCGGGCGAGAGGATTCTACTCAACACCAGCAAGAACCGACAAGGAGCGGACATCTTCATCCTGCAGTTTGCAGACCAGAGACGACCCAGGATCCAAGACTCGGCGTGAGTAGAAGCCCGACATCCTCACTCCTTCTACGGGAGCAGAGGAGGGAAGGCCACCCCTCCCCCCCCAGCACCGGTGATCTCCATCTTGGATACCGACAAAGCTCGGAGGAGCTGCTAGCTCCAACTCAGGCCTTGGAATAAAACGAGTCATATAACAGGTCACAAGAACTTAACGGCAAAGTGACCTGCCAGACTCAGCTCCATCCAGGGAAAAGTCACCCAGCTCAGGCACCAGCCATTGGAGTGGCTTTCCTCACTGGGTAACCAGAGCCAGAGGCTGCCCCTCCCTCTAGCAGCCACCACAATCAATTGAAAAACAGAAACCCTGAGAATGGCTCCAGGGTGGGCTCTGTGAATTTTTCACAAAATAGCCCCAGGGAAAAGCTACTGTTTGTCGAAAGGCCTCAACTCTACCAGAACCTAGCCTCATCACCCCTCTTTTGTGATTCTCAAAGCAGATCACCCTCCCATTAAACTAACCTGGGAGGGGGATCTCAAAATCTTGGGTAAAGCAGAGCATTTTTCTGTCTGTTCGAACAAACTGACTTAAGAAACCAATCAAGCCACAGGACCTCAAGCTGACCAGAGACTCCAACAAGAGGCTGGTTACAGACAAAAGGGAGATACAGGATTCTTCCCACCCCTCCCAAAAAAATAAAAAAAAAAAAAAAATCAAAGAACTTTTTTTTTCTTCTTTTCTTTTTTCTTTTTTTTTTTTTTTTTTGGTACCTTATATATATAAAATTTTTTTTTCCTTTTCTAAAACTTTTATTAATCTTTAATTTTTGCCTTTTTTGAAAAAATAATTGTTTTCCAGTAACTTTTTTTTCCCTCTTATAATTTTTATTTTAGGAATACGTGAATGTACGTTTTCCTTTCTTTTCTTGTCTTCTCTCTCTTTTTCTTTCTTTCTTAATTATCTTTTTGTTTTTTGTCTAGCTCTACTGAACTTCTGATCCTTTTTTTCTCCCTTTCTTATCCTTTTCACCTTTTCCTTTCTTTTGTTCTTCTGTATGTGACTTAACTCTTGTCCTGCACATCCTCAGATAAACCCATAGTTAACTAGTAGACCCTATCCCCCATTGTGTACACACTTAATCCACAAATTTATTACTCAATCCAAAACTCTGAGACTTAAATTCCTTAATAGCAGTACTACCTCTTTATACCTATATAATATTTTAAGCATTTTTTAAGTTTTTCACATCTCCTCTATCTCCCTCCTGTTTTCTCATTATATTCACATTCCTCCCTAAATAGATGGTCTTTCAATCTCCATAACTATATTAATTTTTACGTTTCTAATTTTTTTTCTGGTCTCTTTTCATTTCCCTTTCCCTTTCTTCTTTTTCTCTCCCTCTCTACTTGCATCCTGCCCAACCTATTTCCTGCATTGAGATTAGGACATAGTTAACTCTCCCTGTGCCTCCCCACACCAATCTATTCCTAATTTTTACCCACATCTCTCCCTAACCCTAAAAATTTCTGGTTTTCCAAATTCTTCTCTGCGGTTCGAAGCCCATTAACCTATAGTTGTTTGATGTTGAATAGATGTATCTGTTGAACTAGATTGTATCTGTAGACTATTGACTGTATAAATGCAAATGTTGGTTGATGGTTGCCTTAAGATAGTGTTCTAGCACAAAACTGGTGCTATTTTCATCTCAAATGGGCAGAGTAAGCAGGAAAAACACAAGAAAAATGGCAAATCCGGGTATCTCAATTCCCAATCTTGATAATCAGGGGTCAGATCAGATAATGAACAATCCAGAGGAGAGTTCCCAAATAGCTCTACAAACACTGGTGGCAAACATGATAAATGAGAAGTTTGACAACTTACAAAGGACTCTGTATGAGCGTGATAGGGAGAGAGAGGAGGCATCCCAAAAGTTTATACAGGAATATCATAAGCGTGAGGAAGCTACTCAAAAACTGATACAGGATTTGCGTGAACAACTTGAGAATACTCAAAGAGAAAGGGAGGAATGGCGTGAGCAGG